ATTCATTATTATTATTATTATTATTATGCTATATGATAAGATTCTTTTTACGTGTTATGACGATTGTAAACAATTTATTGTATTAGCATGAATGAAATAAATGGAATGGAACTCACCTGAGCAGGTAACGCCATAGGCAACATTGTCGTCGGGTACCCTGTCGTACTCGTCAACGGTGGTGGCTGCGATTGAGGCTGCGACCTGGAACTGTTCACCGGAACTGGCCCTCTACCGGACAAAATCGAGTTAGTGTCTATGATCACCAGGGTAGGTTTATTCTTCTCGGCAGTAACATTGTTCGATTTTGAAGCAATCTCCACCAATCGTTTCGTGTCCTTCACCACTATCGTCGATGCTTTGGTGCTGGTCGGATGTCGACTTTTGTCTACAGGTATCTGAGAAAAAAGTAGTCATAAAATAGAGTACATGTTAATTTTGAGTGTAATTAGTGATAACTGAGATATGATGATTTCAAATTTTTGAACCAGCTCTTTTTTGACTTTGCCATAATGTGACCAGAAAGTTAAAAATCGACGAAATGCGAGATGTTAGAGATTATTCAAAGATATTCCCCCTCTAAAGAATTTTTTGAATGCACTCAAAAATTCTCGGAAATTCTAAAAACTAAGTTTGGAGACAATATTTTCATTCATAACTACGAAGTCATTGGATCGAGTTTCAAAACCTACAAAGTACTTTTATTCTTGGGATGGTAATAAACATGAGTTAAGACTTCATCGAATTACAAGCAGTATAGTAAGTTGTAGTCACCGTTCTTGGCGGTTACATCAACGCCATATGAAATAAGTAGACAGATCGAGTCTCCGTACCATGGGCGGAGCGCTGCGCAGACTAATCTTCAGCGCATCTGCTACTCTCTCCAGTACGCATGCAGTGGGGGGTAACATGCTAACAGGAGACCCCTGTTTTCATTCTCTTCCTGGAAATACTCTAATAAATTTAGTACGAGCTCCATTGATCCTATTTCCGGCCATTGTACAATTTTATATTGAAGATTGATAACAGGACAACTCGAATTGCACGCCGATGTCAAGTAAGTTGCCACTCTGACAAATATGATTGAAGTGCACTCATATGTAATGAAAAAGTTCTCGAGACGGAGACACACAACTGAAAAACGTATGTCTTTGGGCTTACCGAACAAACGTTCACACACAGTGGTAGGTTGCATGTGTATGTATGAGGGAGATGGAGATATATAAAGGGAGACTGGTAGTCTTACTTTGACCCGTCAAGAACTGTGACCACAACTATACCTTTCGAGTTACAAATATAATATTATGATTTCGAAATTTTTCGCAATTGCAATACCATATAATAGCCGTGGGTCACAATTCGTAGAAATGTCTATAAAATTTACGTGGACTTTTATAAGAAACTCTGCATTTTCTCATCACGTTAATTTTCATAAAAAACAAATTCATAATGTCCATAAACCTGATCAAAATCAACCTGAAGGACAATAAAATATTGCTGTAATGTTGTACGTCTACCCCCAGTTTTGAAGTCTTTAACCATCATATTCATGTTTCCTGACACTATTTTATTTTAGCTATGTATCTAAATATATAAATGCCTCGGAACTGAACGTAGCGAAATTTGGAATCTTTAAAAAGTCACTACTTAAACGGAAGGTAAACCTCTCTATTTGGTTTGTCGAAATATACATCTGATTAATCTACACTTTCCGTTAGATTTTCTTGCTGCTAAACTGTTATGTGCCCAATTGCGTAAAATTTTATCTGTCGCGCTAGGTGTCACATTCACATTTAGGTAGGTGACATGCTAGAGGATCATTTGAGCATTTTACTTGAAACGTTTGGGTAAGAGGATGTTTTATAATTCCGTTTCTACTCTTCTTTTACTTCCTACTCCACTGCGCGAGAAACTATTGTAATCGCGATACATTTTGAAAATATGATTTTGAATGTTATATGTCATGTACAGAGTGCACAAACCAATTTTATCCTGAAAAACAAAGTTGGAATCATTTTAAAATGAACATCAAAATACTCTTCAAGGTGCATCCTGGGTGGTAGACGCTGTCTGACTCGAACGCGGAGGTACCACCCGGCGGATCTCTAAGGCGGGGCCAGAATGTGTGCATGTTACATGCTCACGTGTTTCTTCGCCAAAGTCCGTTTGACGTCCCTCCTTTTCCCCTATAGCCCCACGGTACCCATGAGTGTTTAGGCCTTCAGGGTGGTTAAAGTATACAAAATGCTCGTGTAGAGCAAGGTTTAAACTTTCATTTAGGGACTTACCGACCTAAAAATTATAATTTTTAACTGAGTTTTTAAGAATCGAATATACCCGTACGATAACCCAGATCAAATTTGTCTTGAACAATTTGTTTAAATTAATAACAATCTTGTTGCCAGGACAGATTTTTTCGTTTTTTTTTATCATTTGGAACAAAAAACGATTCCAATAACGTTTCCCTAAAGCTGGCCATTTTCGAGTTATACATAAGTGATATAATGTCAGAATAACTCTAAAAATGGGCATATTCAGTACTTGAAAACTATTTTTAAAATTATAATTTTTGAGGGCGTCGATTACCTAAATTGAAGAGTATTTATTTTAAAGCAATTTTTTAGCTTGTCTGCTAGGCTAAATTGCGAACTTTTGATTTTCGAAGACTGTACATCACGAAAAGCCACGTCACTAATCCTTGGGAGGTACTACTCGGATTTGGGTGAAATTTTCACTACTATACCAAGGATGAAAAAGCACTGTAGTTTTTGAAAATCGGTCCAGTAGCAGCGGGGCTAGGGGTCAAAAACATGAAAAAATAAAGATTGCTGAAACTTGTTTTTGACTTTTCAGAGGCTTCTGATCATTTTCAGAAAAAAATTTGTAAGGCTTGGAATTCAAGGGTTGCGGGTTGTGAGGGGTGGGTATATAACTCGCTGCAGCGGTGTCGCGTGGATGTGGAAAGGAACAGCGTCGCCAGTTGGACAGTAACTACCAGCAAGGCAGGGAAAGAATGTCTATGGACTAATTGTATGAGCCTGTTTGACCGATAATATCAAACCGTTAGCTTATGGTAGACACCCCATTTCATGAAATGTCTCACTCACCTTTTCGATTGTAACAGAATCAGCGAGGGGATCTTCAGGCATGACCTCTTCGATGTCCGATTCCTCTGAGATCTGTGGCGAAGGCACCGGAGACGGTTCCTCTTCTTTATCGCTCTCCACGTAACTTTTGTTCTTGTTCAGGTTCCTGGAGCTCCGCCTTGGAGTGATCGCCGGCGCGGACTCTTTCTCCTTTTCTTTCTCGGGGGTGGAAGCCAACTCGACCACTTCGTTTTCGGTACCGTTCTCTTTTGGCGTATCCACGATCATCACATCACCGTCATCCTCGCCTAAAGAAACCAATGATTAGGTACACCTTTGTGACTGACGTTTTGTGATAGGCGGAATGGAAAACTGAACGTACAGGGCGATGCAAAAATACTAGCCCGCTAAAATTCTGGCTTTCTCACACTGACCGACAGCGAGAAATGGCGAGAAGAAATCTTTCAGAATGAAGCGGTAAAATAACCAATAGAAAGTGGGCGTGCTTTTATTGCTTTTAAAGAACTGTATTCTCTATCCTCATGATGAAATTTCGGTTGCAGCACACAGTGAATTTTCTTCCTGACTTTTTTTACTTTTCAGTTTAATCCTTGATTGCATATAGTGTTATGTTTTGGGATTCTTTATGGGCCATATCAGTTTCTATAATTCAAACTCAAACATTTTTGTTTTGTTTTTACAGTGGCCCTGATGCCCACATATTAAAATCCTAATATATACTTTAACCCTCATATATCATGAGAACATTTGTTTTAAGAAGTTGAGTTTTTAACTGCTCCATCTTTACTACCCCTCATTTGACATCTTCACAATGAAACAATCAAACTTATTTAATTGATACTATTACCACAATGCAGATAATATAACCATTGAAACCAGGGGAAGAGGTAGCTTAATCATATAGAGGGCCCATTAAACTGGCAATAAAAGCATATTACACGCTACCACACAATGCTGAAAGTGCACCCAATTTACTCGCTTTTTAAGGAGCAACTGTCAAGTATCTGTTAGGAACATGCGTGTATGATTTCAACTTTGATGTTCAAGTGTTCTTGGGAGAAAAAGGGCTGAAATCTCAACGTCGTCCATCAATCCCACCTTTGAAGATGAAGTTAGCTTTGTGAAGGAACATTTAATGATGTGAAAAACAAGGAACATGTTATTTTACTGAAAACAGATCCAACTGCAAACTTGATAAATGTAAGAATACACTCAAAACTGCCAGAAAAGGTAATAGCTTCCTTTTGCTTTTTCTACTCTCTCGTTGTCAGGAATTCAAGATTGGTGGCCTGAGAAGCAATTTTCGAAATTGGGGGGAGTGGATCAACTAAAAAAAAGTTTGTGTGGTTCTATTTTTGAGGAACTATTTTCTTTAACATCGATAGAAGAGTTGCTCCCTAGGTTATTTCAGCAGCAAAAGTGTGGAAGTATCTCTGTCATCCATCAGTCTTATCTTTAAACACGTTATTAAACATAGGAATATTTTACTCAAAATGGATATAAGAGTAACAAAACACTTTCTACTGGTTATTCTATTTCCTCGTTTTAAAGAGATTCCTGGGGATATAGAAAGACATAATGTGGGATCCCAAGGCTGGAGGTGTCGCCATAGTACAGCATCTCCCTGCTATGAGAACCTTGATGTTTTCACATACATACTACACAATTAAAATGACAGATATAGTAGCCAAAACACAAATACCTCCAATATGCATGTTATTGTAATGTATGTCATTTAGATCAATAATTACAAATATAAAGACAAAATCATAAAGAAAAAATTTAGTCTGCACTCCTAAAAGCACCAGATGTTGAATGGGCAGGATCTAGCAACCAGGAAGCAACTCAATATTTTTCATCAAAGAAAAAAAATAAATTAAAGATTGCTCTTACCACATGAATCATTCAGCTCTATGGGATCCTCTTCCATTTTGTTACCATCTTCATCATCATCAGATTCAATCTCGTGGATTTCATCATCTGCATTAACTGACTCTATTTTATGATTGCTATCTTCTGCATCATGCTTACTGCTAACTTCATCTAACTTATTACTATCTTCATCTATCCTGTAACAAATATTACATATTACATATAGATGTGTAACTCAACATAGAAGTAACTCTGTATTGATTGAAAGTACTGTTTAACATATTCTCAGATAAAAGTCACCCTAATATTACAAGGTTGTATGTAACATTTTTAACTTTTTCGGCTTTTCGGTATTATGAAGTTCTATGGGACAATTACTATATGTTAAACTTGGAATGAAACCTCTAGCTAACATAGAACCTTAGTTATCAACAGAAAATCAAGGCTGCATGTTGGAAAATATATCTTTTGTGTATACCGTAGGTGTATGTTAAACATAGCACTTTGTAATAAATAAATTAAAACTCAAGAAAATATTACACTGCATATACAGAAAAATATTTTGTACCATAAATACAGAAACACTCTCATGAGTTATGCCCATGCCACCTAATTCAAACCCACAAAAATGTACAACAAATTACAATGACATGTTCAGTTCCGGAGCACCCTTGCATTCAGGAAGTAGATGCTATACATGCTGCATAGAAAGTTCGTTAAGCAAAGTAGAATATTATTCTCCAGTCTCATTGAAAGTAAACCGACAGGAGCCTTACACAATACTTCAGATGAAGAAAGAGGACTTCATAGACTTTCAGTATTATTCAAATCAATTAAACACAATGTGGTCCCATTTTCGAAAGACGTATTTTTACAATTTTCAACAAGCTTTTTGGAGCTGAAATATAAAGATAATTTTAAGATGGAAGAGGATTCTAAAACATTTGAAATCGTAAGTCTGCACCAGAAAAAACTAAGAAGAACACAACCCGTTATGGCTGAAACTTGGAACTTAAAAAATTTGACAGCAGTGTTGGACTGCCTCAATCAAAAGTGGATGCTATAAATCAATGTAGAAGTGGATTTTTGGAATGGATAGACAATACTACTAGTCTATTTCTAGGAACAAATAAAGTCTAACATGTAGCATCATTTTAAGTTTATGTGACATATATAATATATAATAAATAAATTTTTCTATACTGTTTTATTTTCGGGGAAAAATTACACAAAGTACTAAATTGACCACTATGAACACCGCTTGTAAATTAAAACCATTCATATATATAAATTAAGGCTTAAAACTGAAGCAATTTTTTAAAATCGATTTATCTCAAAATAGGAACAATGCTACATGTGACGTTGTAATATTAGGGTAACGAAAAGGCACATGCTGTTTTGGTTATTTGTATACAATTTTTACACCCATATTTCCAAGTAGGATCACAGTAATTAAAAAATTAAAATATGAGTATATTGGACATGAATGTGGCATATATTATATGACAGGTTTTGAGCACTGCACAGAAAAACATATTAATCTTACCTATCAGTATTTTTGTCATCTAACCTATCTTCACTATCCTTATTTTCAATACTTCCTTCTTCCTTTTCCTCTTTATCACTCTCATTCTGATCCTTTCTCTATCACTATCAGAGTGTTCATTTTCTCTATCACTATCCTCACCATCTTGCTCTTTCTCACTATCATCACCCTGGTTTATTTTGGATTTTTCAACCTCGCTACCATCTTGTTCACTGGCTTTTGTATCCTGGCTACTCTCATCTTCATTCAATTCAGATGGGTTTTCTGTTGTGACTGAATTTTCATTTTCCTCTGTTGCATTTTCATTCTCTTCACCAGTGTTTCCATCTTCTTCACCAGTATTTTCATTCTCTTCAGCTGTGCTGTCTTCAGTTGTGCTAGCTGTTTCTTGTGTCTCTTTGGTTTCTGAGGTCTCCAGCTCATCGACTTCCATTGGGTTGGTTACATTGGATTTTTTCATGCTATCCTGACTGTCATGTGTTTCCATATCTACATCATTTGGTAGATCACCATTAGTTACAACAGAACCTGTTGGAAGAAACAATATATATATATATATATATATGTTATGAAAAGTTATTTTGAAGTGTCAAGTAAAAATGTTCTCCTATAAACATATATCCTAAAATTTTCCATTACCAAGACAAAGGGTTCCATATTTTACTCCATTGTTGAGACTGATTAAGGACAAAACATGAATATTGTTCAAATAGGATACAATAATATAGAATATATAACTTTCAATGTCAAACTTTAGTGTTTTTTAATCCATTTCAACTGGTTTTTATGACTTTTCCATCTATTATATACTTTTGCCTATTCAACAGTGAAATATATTTATCATTACTGATTTCAGCATACTTTCCAAGTTGCTCATATCAATTTCAGCTAAAATCAATTTTTCTCTAAAGGGGAGGAGGAGAGAGGCAATTCATTAAAACGTCATAGAAAATTGTCTTCTATTATGTTGTTCCTGTATTTCAACACCCTGCATTTTGGTAAGGAGGAACTTTAGGACTGATGTTTATATGAAGTATTATAGTATATTTCTGGCCTAGAAATAATGTTGTTTTTTAAAATCCTTTGTATAATACAGACATCCTCAAACTTATTTTGCCTACTGCCCACTTTGAGAATCTATTATTATCTAGTGCTCCCCAAAATTACATTGATTTAATATCCCTAGTTCCAAGAACTTACAAAACGCAAATTAGCCATTGCATATCCCCCAAAGCCTCAATTTCCTCTAGGGCCTACTGACCCCCCATAGGTCCCCAGCACCCACAAGAGGATCTTATCACTCACTTTGAGAATGGAGACAAAGGTATAAACATGAATATTCAGTTCAGAAACTGCAACTCTATTCTTCAAGATAAACTTAGTATCAACATAACACACTTTAAATCGTAACTTTAATAGTGAGAGTATGCATAATGCATTTTTGTTAGTAAGATGTTTGTTATAACTTTTATAGCTTATGTGCCTTTATCTATTGACACAAGTCTGAGAAGCTGAACATTTTATTCATTTCCATGCTTCCTGCATCAGTCATACCTAATACAATTAATACAGATTACAGAACTCATGCCTGGCACTGCAACATTGGAATAGTTGACTGTCAGTCACCAGTAATTGACCAGTTGTCAATATGCTAAAACAGATGTTTCATGCTATGTATTTGAATAATTAGGAATGATTACTTAAAATATGGTATGTATAAGAAATTACATGAAAAGATTTGCTCTATTAGTGTATCAATCACTGTTATCTCACAAAGCTGGGCAGTAGCAATGTAATATGCAAAAATCGACACTTAAACTCATTACATAGTTAAAAAATAACATCATCAACATTAAAGGACTAAAAGTGTATCACTGCATGGTTTCGGACTTCTGCATTAAATGATTTGAGTACTCAAGTGTTAACTTTGGATGGCATATAGAAGGGTAATTATCAAATTACCTTGACAGTATCAAATCATTACACAGTTCAAAAATGATACTAGTAACATCCATATAATAACTCTATCATTGTTTGGTTTATAACATCTGTATTAAATGATTTGGGTGCTCAAGTGTTTACTCTGGATGAAACATAGGTTGGTATATCAAAATTACCCTTCATCTTTTAAATGAACTTCAATCCACTTCCCCCATATCTGCTACAGCTGCCATAGCCAATTAATCTGTCAAAAAAATAAATATTATAAACCTGGAAAATGAACAATTTATCAATAGAATATGAAAAATCCCAAATAAGTTCTTAGAAATTAATTTGTATGGTCTCTCAGGTTTCTGCAAGGACTATAACCCAACTTGTTTGTTTCATGCATGAATAATTAATTAGTGAAAAAGGGGCATACATGTGTATGAAAGCTAACTATATTTGAGGCACTACAAGCCTTGTGAAGTGAAACTTGCTGGACTATATAATAAATAGATAAATTGACAACAATTGGAAGGGCCAAGAAATCATTTCGAAGGTAAAATTTGTGACCCCACCACTGGTACTATGGAAAGATAACAAAATCAGTGCTGCCAACGCCGCAATTTATAAACAATTTTATTAACAATTCCACATTTCCAATAATAAAAGAAATGTTAAAATGAGAAAAACTACTAGAACTTATTGAATATTTACCATCCATTGTTAATTTTGTTTTTAATTCCCGCCATAGCACATGGGATTCCAAGTCGAAAGAAACAGAGAACATCTGTACCACCAATAAACTCTGTGACATCGTCGTAAATAGCCGAACTGAATAACCATAAACCCGGGATATTCAAAACTGACGACACTTAAAGGTATTAAAACAATGTGCTCAGGGGCTGGCAATGGACAAGCTATAAATAATTAGAATTTTTATTATTTTATAAATAGTCCGGAGAAACTTAAACACACATTGCTAACCCCTAGCAATCACACTAAACTGCCAATATGGCGTCTAAACGGTACGTCACGTGACCTACAATAGTGACGTAGCTTTCACATCCCACAGTGTCTTGAATTTTTTTTCATTACGTAAGCGAAACTCAATTTTACAACAATTGAGAAAATCCAAACGATTTCGTAAGCCCCTTTTTACACGCAAAAAATTAAACAACGGTTCCCATGTCGACAGAAATCAATTAAAATAGTTGACGCCTATCATACTCGGCCCGTTTTACCGCTTTTGGGTCCTAGTTTTTAATAATAAACGACAATACACTTTCTTTTTGTTTATTTCCGTTCTTTTAAGAGGTTTCTAGGAAAGTTCTACGTTCCCAACACTCATTTTTGAACTAATTAAAAGGAAAAACAGTAATTACAAATGCCGCGACTGACCAACATTTTCAAAAATTCAAATTTTACGTGTGCGAAATTACATTTCCAGATAATTGGAATCCCAATATAGATTATCAAGCATCAAACGTAGTTAATTTTCCAATTCATGGCATGAGTAATTTCTTCGGGAAGATCGCCGCACCCGGCAAAAAAGCAGTAGCGCGGCACGAAGCGGACACCCCCCAGAGCGCGGAATGGTTGCGCCCAAACCTCATTTTGTTCATGTATACTCTGAACCTAATAACTTTTTCTCTCTCTCTACGTTCCGTCTCTATCGCTCCGGTTTCCAATAATATAATAGGATCAATTTGAAAAAATCAAGCTTTGCACCCCAACATTTTTGTCACTATAAAATACTTTGATAAGATGATTTTTAAGGTCCTTCGATGATGAGGTCGACCTCCTTGACATCCGCTTAGACTACGGAGATAGGTAATCTCTTTGAGCAGCACTATAATTCCTTTGAAATTTTTTACTGTTTACTTTGTTTAAACGTTTTGCTGTTATGGTTTGGGAATTTAATCAGTTACAGGTTAAATGAAAACGTTTTTTATTCGCGCAAACTTTATTAAGCCAGGTATCTACTCTGATTTGAAATGCAATTTTAGAAAAACCCACATTGCCTATGACTCCGAGCATTTTCTCTTGCTCTGTACACAGTCATGGTCAAAAGTAACTTTTTTAATGCTTCAACAATCGACTTTGAACAGTTTCCATTATCCTATAGTTTGCACTTTCTTGGTGGGAAACTTGATACCAGGTTGGTGTACTCTTACATCCTTAAGTAGGTAAAAGACACAGATTAATTTTTCAGTAACA